CGCGGCCGGCGCAGGTGCCCGCGGCCCCGCTGTCCCCGGGCCAGGAGAGAAGCGTCGAAGGCCCCTTCGGAGGGAGCCCCGCGGCTCGCGGGGGCTCCGCGTGGATGTTCGGGGCGGCAGGGCGCTCTCCGGCCATCGCACAGCGCACGTGAGTTGCCTTCCTAAATAACTCGTTACTGCATSGTGGTTTTATGCGTGCTGCGGGATCTTGCGCTGCGACAGCCTCCAAACCGGTTCCCCGTTAGCAGCAATTAATAGCTGCRGAGGTCAGTGCTTCAAATTACAACTCAGACTGAGCTCCTAGAGGGATACCAACTTCCACAGTGTGACAGGCACAAAAATACCTTGTAATGCTTAACTTRTTTCCAGAGAGGTTGCTAAAACCACAACCTTTAGTTGCTTTTATAGATGGGGAGGAAATGAAGGGCTGCGTCAGCCAAGCAGCTGCTGCCTTCAAGCACCCCTGGTCGCCACTTCCATCAATTATAGGAATAGGAGCATTAGTGGAGCTGCCGCATAGGAACCGCACAGGGCTTAGCTGCGGAGAGGTGCACCTGCTGAGATCATGATCTTTATTTTTTTTTCTGAAAAGACATTCCTGTCTGTCATTTGGATCAGAGACATTGGACTGTCCAGTATGTGACTCTGTCTTCAACAGATTGTACTAATTTTGAAACAGAATGGCAACGCTGTKGGGAAAACGGTTGAATTGTACTTTACCCCCTCTCTCTTATCCCAAATGGGCTCAAGGACTCAAAGCACAAGTTAGTTAATAATTGACATGCATGGAGCATATTCTTATTTATCTAACACCAAGCCTAGCTCTACTTAGTTTTAGCAGTTACCCAAAATTTTAAAAGAATCTTCTCGTGCTTGAGCATTGCTAAATTTGTAGAGCTTGAGCATGCTAAGTTTTGTATTTTAAGCGTGCACTGAGCATGGTGATTTCTCRGAGAGGCTGTTTCAAGAAAAGCTAGACTGGAATTTTGTTTTTTCCTTTATTTAGATAGATGGAGTTGAATGTCATAAAAGTTCCACTGTGCATGATGAACCTTTGTTGCGTGGATGGGGCTGTTGTGCCTATATATTAACGTGTGATGGCCTTTCCTTGCAGAAAGTTTGGGTAGAGTGTAAAGAACGAAGATGCAAAGAGGAAACGAAACACAGGGTCCTTCAGCAGCATTGCCCTTCCACTGCAAATAATATGAAATAGTGGGTTCAATTTGGGCTGTTGAAAAGCAAAAGATTTTGCTTTCTTTTCTTGATTAAATTGTGCTTTCATCCCATTCTGTCAGATTTTTCATTAGTAAATTTTAACTGTTAAAAGATTGTCTTCCAAACAACAAAAAAACAGTAGCCACCCTATTCTTTATCGCGTTGTCTAACTGACTTGTATTCTTATTCATCTCCTACACAAGGGGATGACTTCCTGTTTGTCTTGTTAATTTGTACTGTGTAAGTTGCAATTCATTTATTCTGCGTAAATGCAAGTAGCCATAAATAATGAGGGCTTATCCAGTTGCATGTGGTACAACACAACTCTGTCTGGTTCGGCAATACCTGATTTAACTATATTAGGGCACTTTTCAAAATGGAAACATGATGAAAATTGCAGTAGAACTTGAAAATAATAGCAGCATTGAATGGTAAGTGTCTGAAAATGTAAATCCATGAAATATTTTATTAAGCACCATATTCAAACTTCCATCAGTACAAACCTATCACTAATAATAAGCAATGGCATGATTTAATGAGATAAGATTTCCAAGATCGATTTGCATGTATTGAGAGTATCTGGAATCACCTGGAAAAGTCATSTTGGACTTGAAATACTTTTTGTTACTAAAGGTGTTTTTCACTTGATTACTCTAGGAAATTGTATAGAACTTTTGTCCCTCTGGCTCCCTCCCTGTTGATCTCACACTAGAACCGTTTTGACTTGTGGAAAGCTAGTGTCTGACTGGATAAGTTGCAGTGCTAAACCTCTTCTGTTTAGGGATGCAATCTACTAAACATGGTTAGGAAAACCACCGCAACTAAGGTGAACAGGATTTGGCTCTACATGTGCTTAGTGTCAAAATTTCTGTTGACCTTGATGGAAGGTAAGTCAGGCCTCAGCTGTGCAAGGAGTTTTRGTTATGCAGCATAAGATTTATTTAGTTCATTATAAATGGTTTTGTCRTTTACCACCTCCGCCTAGTAGGTAACTGCTGAACAGAAAGATGAGAGATGTCCCAAATTAGAAACAAACCCTCTCTTTATTGAATTTTATACTGTTACACAATCAAAAAGAAATACAATCACAAATATGTCAAAATGTTTCAAGAGAAGTATCAATTGCAATACGTTGTACTTGGTTCCAAAAAGAATTCCATTAAAATATATCACTTCTTCATGAGAGAATACTGCTATTATTCACAAAATCTACCATACTGTATAAAACCAGGAGCAAACTAACTTTTTGGTATCTTGGCAAGCCTTGCTCAAGGTAAACATGGAAGCAGAAGGAAAATAACCCATTTCTAGAATTTAGATTAAAGTCACACTTCTCCTCCAGAATGGAGCTTTCCTGTGAGGCAAGCGCCTGGTAGCTAAAGCTACTTCTAATGAAAGCTGGATACCCAACTCATGTAAATTACTATGAAAATATTTGCCGTCCTACAAAGTTCTCTCAGGCTGCAAGATGCTCATTTTCATGCTGGGCTATTGTAATTCAGAACTGAATTATGAAGTGGCATGTGAAAGAACTCTGTGTTCTGAGCAGCAGCAGCTTATCAAAGATTGCAGAGGAACAACTGCTGGACTTCAAGCATACTCACTTATGGACTGATTCATATTGGYGGGATACTCATGAGTACTAGATTCATGAGCACTGTTTGAAGGAAATGATTCATTTGGCAATTTAGCATCTGTTGGGAGGGTTTTTCTATTGCTAGTGAAACAGCCTGACCTTTCTGCTTTGTTTAGATACCATTCTTTAGCTGTTCAATTGAACAACTTCTTAACGGAACAAAAAATGGCTATATTAAATATGCAATAATTTAACCTGTAATAATTGTAAGTTTTGACTCCCACCACTCTATCTCAATACAAGCCTAATTGATAAATTCTTTCAAAGCAAGTTTTTAATATTAAAATGATCACCAGTGTTATGAGTAAGGTTTTAAGTGTTCTCTCTAGCCTCAATCTGTGATTCCTTGAAGCAATTCATTACTAATGGGGGAAGGTTTGGTAGGTGCACACAGAGCCAGCTGACAGGGAAAGCAATTTTATTTTACCTAAAAGCCTGTCAATGTCATCATACAGTGATGACATTGTACCTACCTTCCTACCCTGGGCAGATAGTGGAGGTGCAAATATGTTAGATTACAAGTCACCTTAATTTGCTCTGTKTTATACCTAAAATTAAGTCATTAGTGGACTTAGATGAGTAGCTCCCATGAAATCAAATTTATTTAACCTTTTCAGCTCAAGGAATATCCTATACACAAACTTAAGAATATATCAGTTCCTTTAGTTTTTAACAAAACCCGCTCATCAGTGTTTGGTGAGAAAGACACAAGCAAGTAGTCTTTTATCCTTCAGGGTCAAGGTTGTAAAATAATTACCTATGTGGGGGATAAAGGCAGAGGAAATGAATAACTGTGCTATGTTGCAAGGACAACATATAACATCTTGTTCATTTTGCATGCAACTATATTCACAAAATGCTGTTTCTAAAGCAAGATAATCCTAGTAATTTGAMAGTAATCAGGTCGGTAAGTCTGTACACAGCAGACAGGGAATAAGCAAGGGCCTGCACAATAATGGAAATTCAGATCAGACTCTGGCCTGAAACAGTGGGGAAAACTGAATTCTTAAACAATGGTGAAAAGGAACTAGGAAGTACAATCATTTAGGAGGTGTGGGGAAAAAAACGTGAGGAGCTCTAAGACAGAGCTCARCTACTGCTGGAGCTGTGACAGCTTTCAGGTTAATTTTGTTATTCTCTTCAGTTTATGTGGCAACGATAATCTTAACTCATCGCCAATAYGCAACAGAGAATACTATATCCAGCTGCAGTTATCTGCGCTACTGGTAGCAAATTAATACTCTGTTATATAGCACCTTAATGCTTAAAGAGGTAGCAAGTGAGTAAAGAGATTATTCAGAAATCACTAAGCAAGTCTTTAAAAAATGAATGTATCCTACATGCCTGTCCTTCACAGTAGGTTTACCATCTATTCCCAGATTATAAAAGGGAAAAAAATTAAAATATGTATTTCATAAGGCCACACTTGGCAGGTCACAATAATTATTGTAAGAAGTACCAGGGCACAGCGAGAAGGAGATCCACGAAAGACCCAGAAGGTCTTTTAAAACAAAACCTTCTAAGTTCTTTCCCCAGAGATTAAACTCCATCGTCTTCTGCAGCTCACTGCAAGATTTATTTTAGCCACTTGTACCCGGGCAGTAGTCAGACTGGTATGCCTGGTAATATAAATATATAGRGGTTGGGAAGATCCTTAGATGAAACAGTGCTTATTTAAATTCATGGCTACACTCACCTAAACCAGAGGATATTCCATCTAGATGGTAACTGTAAATCACATGTGGGTCACTTAAGCCTGCTTCTTGTAACATGAATTTYTTCGCAGGTAAAACTTGCTGCCCACTGAACTCATAGCACAGTACGGAGGAATTTATGGTCCCGAGTAGTTTTTAGAGGTCAGGGCATCTAAAATAAAGTCCACAGRCTGACAGAAATAACTATCAAAGCACAGGATGTAAATATTCTGTTGAGATGAAAAGGGTAACCCAAGAGGTCAGTTGAAGAGCTTGCTGCAGGAATGAGAAAAACTGAAGCTCCTCCTCCCTTTCATCTGTCTATATGGCTTTCCTCTCCTCACAGAGGCATCACCTTAAGTCAACACAGAATTAAGCARAGAAAGGCCCACTGCTTGTTTTCCWMAAGCCTTTAAGAACAACACTGCTAAAAGTTCCATTGKTGGAGATGGAAAAAGTGTGGAAGAAGGAAAGAGGGAAATGCATGCCMTCCAAAGGTCCTCACCTAGCCATGGTTCTGTTGCTTTCATCCAGACTGATGGCTAAGCTTTGCACGCTTAAAAGTGTGTGCATTACAAGTCTTTAACACTCAGCAGCAGCAGGCTGTATTCAAAACAAGCTCTTCATATGAAGCTTGAGTTTTGGCTTGAGGCACCTGCATGTCTTCCTCTTGCTTTAAGAGGTGCTCAACCATATTCTACTATCCACACCTTACCTCCATTGAATAAAGAGTTTTAGAAGGCAGTTAATACTCTATTTAATTTCATTACTTGCCTCACTTTGAAAAACATTCCCCTTAGTGAGCAGTAAAAATTATTAAAATTGATTATTTTAAAATGTTTGTCCATGCTTAAATTTTAGAAAAATTAACCAATGTTAAAAATTAATCAATTGTTACAGCACGTGAATTTTAGGAAGGAGTTTAACCGTGGCCAAAATAAATCCTTCAGTAAGACACTGAACATTTGATTTCTCTTGTATTGAAATACTTTTTAAAACAGTTTGAGGAGGGCGCAATATCTTAACTGTATTTACACCTTACAAGGCTATATGAGTCGCCTAATGTTTTAAAACAACCAAACAAGAAAAGTCATCTGGTCAAAGTCACTGAGGCAACAGCACAGAGATGTTGAGAACAAGCTTCCTTTAGCATTGAGCACCAGCTTCATTTTTCATCCTGCCATTTTTGTGACAAAAATCAAAAAAAAAAGAAAGCTATCTTTAATTGATCAGTCTTGGGGATTTTTGCTTTTCCTGCTTTCCAGTGTTACCTTGATAGGCTTCCAGAGACATGTCTTTAAGCTGGTTGTAAGGAAGAATCTCTCCCCTCTAAAAGAACACAAGTATGCTGTCCTGTCACATGGAAATATGCTCACTGGTGTCATAACTGGTTTAAAAATTTAACATCTTTGGCCAGCTGTAGTACAACACTGTCTAAGAGACTTTAGTACTAAATAGGCTCAAATAATTAACTTGGAGATATTAAGGTCAAAGTAAGGAAAAGTTGATTGGAAATCATTGCTAAGTTAAAAAGGGAACACTGATGAACAATAACCACTAACAAAAATATAAATTATCTCATTTCTCTTAGATAACACACTCCCCCAGGGGGCCTGGTCCACATATAGTTTATTGATGTAAGAAAACAATACAGTTAGTGTTAGATCCAACCACAAAGAGCAAAAGAATGAGTGAATGAAGGTTTTGTACAGTACATATAGGAAAATAAGATGTTTGTGCCAACTATATATTTCTAAATAAAAAGTCTAAGTATATTCAAGTTATTGAAATCTACATGAAAACATGGATGTTAATAGCAACAAGGTGCATAAAACCAAAACATCAAAATATCGAGCAACTCAATGATGTACTAGATAAAACTCTGCTAACAATGCATGATGTTTTACAATCTGCTTGAAATATCACCTATACCACACAGGGTAAGCTGAACATTTAGATTTAAGATCATACACAATATTAGCATTAACTTCAACAACTACAGGCAGGGATTTTTTTTTTCTTTTAAGCTGGCAAAGTGACTACTTTAAGAACATCAAACTCTCTCTCTAAATTGAGAATGTACCCAAATAAAATGCTGCTAGCCCTTTCCAGATAAAGCCTTTCCCTTTGACTAATCACACTCAAGTCAAAAGTGTAAGACAGCATTTAAGAACATTTTATATTACAACATGACTAAAATAATGACATAATCCAGGTTTAAACATGATTTCATAGGCAAACAAACAAAAAAAAGGATTCTTCTTAAAAACTATTTTTTATAAACACAGAATATATTGCATGAGGAACTGCTGGTATTTTTTTTACGAAAATATATTGTGCGATTGTGGCTACAATGCACTGCTGAAAAGCGTTGTTGTTTCTTATAAAAATTATTAAAATAAAAACTTACTTGAACATAAAGAGTAAGAGAGCACAAGTCTTCCAACTACTTATGAAGAGCAGGATGGAAGTATTGCCAGTTTTTCCTGTGTTGACATTTTACTAATAATAAGCTTTGGTGACCAACTCCCCAGCCAAAAAATAAATATCTTAGATTCAGGTGCATATTTCAAAGCTACTATTGCAAGTGTGTTTTAAATGTAATGGACTTAAAGTGTATGTACCAAAGAATTATAAAAATGCGCTATAGGTTGAGTTATTGTTACATAAAGAACATATTAAAAAGACTGTCAAAATAAGTAGAAAGGGGATCAAAACTGAACTAACTGAATTAGTGCAGTACTGTAGCCAGGCTTCTAAAATCAGATATAGAAAATATAAATAGACTGCTTTAGGTGATGATTCACCAGTGTCCAAAAAAGAACAAGTATTGTGAAAGCTCAGTTAACTTGATCCAGGGCTCTGAGCAGTTCTTCACCTTGTAGCAGGTTTCTGTTGCCTTGTATGGGAGCATTGACTTCACAGTCGTAACTCGTGAGTTGGGGCAGGCCACTCTCATCCATCGACTGCCCTAGAAGTTTACTTGCTATGTCTACAGAGGGAGGAGGGGGAAAAAAGTGCACTTTATTCACCATGCTTCACCCTTCTCCCAAGCTTGTTCAGAAAGGAAGCAAGTTGGGATACTTTAAAGGCACGCAGTTTTCTTTCAGACACACAACCTCTACATATTTAAAAAACAACAAAAATACTAACCAGTTGATAGTAGAATGATTGTCTTTTGCTCCACTCCATTAGGACCATTTGTTTTACATCCCTTCACACGCTTCCAAGCAAGTGATGCATTTGCTCCACGATCACCTGTCTGCTGCAATAAAGACCCCTAGAAAGAAGTAAAACACTTCTTCATTGAATGCTCTATTTCTATCCTTCTACATCCCTATTTCAAGCTAACAGTACCTGTCCTTGATTACTAATGTAGGCATTGCTACAATATCAAGTGGACTTCTTCAGAGTTTGGGGAAAATTTACTTCTAAAATTAAGACTATTGTACATAAATTGAAATTAGATTTCAAGACATTGCCTCACTTACAGAAAACAACTTCTAAGTCCTGCTTCTCCTCAGCTACTATGCTCAAGATGAGCATGTGTATGTACACATACACACCCATTTAATCACCAGTGCTTTTGTCTGAGTAAGCAKCAGGTTTTTCCCAGAGTCTCTAATGTTTTTCCACACTGGAATTATTAGCACGCGTAAGAGATTCAGGAACCTGGATATGTTGATTCTATCTAGATCAAAGAAGTGAAATTCTACTTGCACTCCCACTATTGCAACCCAACTATTTGACTTGAATCCCGTGGGGAATGTAGCCCTGAGCCACTMTATTACGGATTGCCACTGAATCAGAAAGATGGAAGGAAGAATGAGTGTAATAGCAAGTTTCCTAACAACAGTAGTTGAACTTTCAGAGTTTTGTCTTGTTAGTAGTACAGTCGGAAGAAAAAGTAACTCAGGGTGGTGCCATTATCCTAGACACTGGAAACAGTCAACATATTTTTTTTAAGGTTATGATACATCCATACAAGTCAAAGAAAATTGTATAATAGAAGGTGCAGAGTTAAACAGCTCAGAAGCTGCAGTTCATGGTAGGGTCAGTCACCTACATYGTTGCTGGATTATTTTTATTGCAAATGCAATACAGTGCTTCATATTGAGAAAGCAGCAGCTTGTATTTTACTCTGTAATGATTAAGATCATTATTTCATAAGCTTACTGTGACACAGGATGCCCTTGCCTTATTCTCCCGTTCTTACAGAAAACTAAGGTAGTGTTTTACTTTGTCTTCATTTAATTTCAGTGTCTTTGCAAAGTTCCCCCTTTGATACAGTTAGGAAGTCAGGAAAGATATTTGTGCAAGCCTAGAATACCATGTAATATAACCTGATTTAATATCATTTCTTGTATGCATGTGCAATGCCTAGTTCACTACACTCAGAAATCCATTCTACAGAAAGAACTAAATGATACAGAAGTTTGCTGGAATTAATGCTAATAAATCCCAGCTACATGAAAAATTCAACCTCTGACTGTGGAGAAACAGTCAAAATATCCACAATATTTTTGTCACATACAGAAGAAAAAAAAAAAAAGGTTTAGCAAAGGATGAAATATGGACCTATAAGCATTAAAAAAAGCACTAACTACAGAGGTCTGAACATTTATTCTAGTAGTTAACACAGAAGTGCTGACATTCTGTCACCTATGCTATTCTGTGTAGGTTACCAGCAACACTGCAGTAGCAGTTACAGCAGCAGCACTGTTGCATTAAAAAAAAAAAAAAAAAAAAAGACAACAAACGGCCGAAAAACTTCAAGCTGTGAATTCTTACAAAGCTACCCATATGTACACAGCAAAATACGTGGAAGCGCAAAGTATTGGGGGCATTTAGGAATGAAAACATGGAAATATTATGAAGGCATTTAGGTTTTTGTTCAGGAGTAAAATCTGCTGGCTGAATAAAAATAAAGAGAAGCTTTCAGGTTAAAAATACTTTTCCTAGCTCTCCAAGGGAGCTTAAGACAGGATACAGCAATCACTGTTATCCCGAGAAGAATGCTAATTCAGGCTTAGTTCATAGCTCAAAAGATGACACCCCTGCACTGCAAGACATACTAGATGACTGTATCTAGGAAAAGGACCACAAGAAAAAAAGACAAGGGCTGTGTTGCAGTAGAGGAGTAACTAAGAATTAACTGTAAAAACTTCTAAGAGAAGCAGGAATCTGTAAGGAAGGCAAGAAGAGTGATAGAATATTGCACCAGCAAAGCCCAAGACTTAAAAATACCTAGGACTCACAGTGAAAGACAAAGCTTAGGGAGASAGGATACCCTCTCAGGAGGGATCTAGCTCTGTCCCCATGATGAGGAGACATGCACACCCACACAAGTGAAGAACACAAGAAGGTTGCTCTTGAAGAGCTAGGACAAATGACCATGAACTACTTGCATGCACCAGTACAGGAGAGGGAGTACATGTAATTAAAGTAGGAGTAATGAAATTTGGTGGCCTCTGTGAATTCTGCCCCCTTATGTTCAACTGGTGGTTGTTAGGAGTCTCACAAAAACCTTAAGTGATAGAAAGAAGCATGAAGAACATCGCCAGTACTGACATATGAAAATAAAGTTTGAAACAAAAGTGAAATAAATGTCAGTTTWAAATTTCAATAGGATGCCTTACATTTCTTAACATTCTGCTAAAGGAGAATGCATGCATGTTCACAGAAGAATGTCCTTTTCCTAAGGAAGACATTCGCTTAGGTATAGAGGGCATTTTTGAAACACCTGACAGTAAAGAGAACTAAAGTCACTATCTGAATATAGGAGGGAATTTTATTACCAAATAATCACCTTTAATACCAAGATTCCACTGCATACTGATAGCTAAACTCGTGATTTTGCACTGATGCCTACTTTCAGAAATTGCAAGGTTAGAAGTGAATATTTTAAAATGGTAAAACTCACAATTCCAACTGCCTGAAAAAGTGAACCATCATGTTCCATTTTTCGTTTTCTCTGAGCATTATGCAAAGCTAGCATCTTTGGATTTAGTTCTTCATCCATTGCAGTAGATCTAAGAAAAATTGATTCAGTCTGTTAAGAAGTTTCTAATATCTTCCAGCCTTTTTTTCTTCTTTTTTTGGATATTTTATATATAATATGACAGAACTGAATTTATGCACTATACTAATTTTCTTTGGCAAGTGACTTATTTCAACAGTTACTGACTATGAGCACAGCAAACATTAGCTTTAAGTCTTGCTGTAAGGCTTATAATGACATAATTTAAATTTTTTTTTTTTTTTTTTTGGAGAAAAACACAAGTTCAGCAACTTACTGTCTTTCTACAGAAAAAAGGGAGGGATGGTTGAGGAAAAGGAGTGTTTCTACTTAGAATATTTCATATACAGATAAAGCTGTGTATCAAAGATTTGGTGTTCTGATTGTAGACTTTTCTATAAAGATAAATACCTGCTACATATGCAGATATTGCTATATCTGTAATTATGAAATATAGCTTCTTTTAAAAGCATCATATATAGCTTAGAGACTGTAGCTGTCTCTTGCATTGCAACAAATTGGACAAGAAAAGCATCAGGAATATTGTGCCATTATAACTACTTATTTTAAAAAGGCTGCAATTCAGGTACCAGAACACAACAGAATTATGAACACTGTTTGTTTGTAATAGCTGCCTCCTTATGTAAGATACCTATGTAAAAACTGAAAAAAAGCTGCTGAGAAGTTAAACTTTAGGAAAAGTTCCTATATCAAAAATACCTTGTTTAAAACGTCTGCATTTAAATTCCTAGTTGAAGTAGAAGGCTAAGACAGCAATACAGCTGGACTATTTCAGAGTGCGTTACATTTAACTTTTAGAAAGGATACTAAGGCTTAAGCTTAACTTTTAAAGTACCTTTTATTTAGAGTGACTGTTAGCAAACTGGGTGCTCCTGGACACGATTTCTCCGTCTGCTCCAACGTCCCTTTCCCTGCTCTGATTGGAGATGCCGTTCGACTCCTGTTCCCGCCATACGGCGATGCTGGGGCGCTACTTGTTTCACTGATCACATGAACGGGAGAGGAAGGAACAATGAGCGTTTTCACATCATCCACACGCTCTGTCCCTGGTTTTACTTCCTCAGCAGTAGCTGCTGGCGTCTGAGTCTGCTGAAATATGGTAATGGTGGCTGCATTTTGAGAACCGGACGAACTGCTTTCCAATGGAGAGAGCTGATCAAAGGAGCGCAGCTGGAAGTCATCATCCATTGGAATATAAGGAGCCAACATCTCCAAATCTAAATCAGTTTCCTGGAAAACATATGAGGTAAAACTTGTAATACATCAGCATACTTCAGCTATTACTTCACAGCTCCTTTAAGGCTCTTCCTCTTACCAAATGTTTAGAATTATTTTCTGCAATCGCTTCCTTTATTTTAATAAAAGCCTAATTACAGAAGAGGAGGGAGGTTCCTGAAAACATTCAACAGGAAAGAAACAAAAAGAGAAGCACACTGTGAATTAAAAAATAAGGATGAATCAGCAGCTTAAATGAACGTACGTTACCTGAGTAGAGAATGGATTTTTTGCTTCTGTATCTATCGCAAAGAGTTTCTCCACTAATTCCAGTTTGAATTCATTAGCCATATCATTATCCACATCAAAGCAATAGTCATTGGGACTAGTGGGCTGTAAAAATATTTCAAGTGCAGTTTTTAAGTTTCTATCATGATATTGTTTCACATTTTTTCTATAGAATCTCAAAACGTACTAATGTAAAGGAAATAATAATTCCAAGCTGTAGCTGCACAAAACTAGAATAGGAGAGGAAAACACTTGCACCTTTTCTGTATACATTCAAATTTACATCTTTTGGAAAGCACACGAAAAGCTGCAACTTTGAAGGAGTAGCTGCAGTAATTTATTGCAGCTATTTTGCTACTTACAGTAGTTGTCTCTGAAACGTCCTTTTCTGTAAAGACCAATCCCAAACTGTTCCTATTTCTATGACATGTACTATTGGAGGCACCTTTTTACTGAAAAGAATTTTCAGTATGAAAATATAATTTTCTTTTTCCTCTCGTATCATGATATAAGCCCAAGTAAGGTACAACTTGCAAATAACTTTAAATCTGCATCTTAGCTGTATCTTTAATCTTGCCCCATAAGCCCCATGAGAACAGGCACTTTAATAACAGCATATCCAAATTGCATAACTAACCTCAGGTGAACTTTGGCTGGTGCTTGCATCTGAAGGACTGGTTGGTTGTTCTTGCACCTGAGGCATGGTAAAAGAAAGTTCTAGTGGCTCTGTGTTTGGCTCCAGCTTTAATACAACTTCTCTATTGAGTGCAGGATCAGCATTGCTACGAAGTGGCTTTGTAGTTTCAGAAGCAGGCAGTGGGGACAGTGCCATATTTATAGTCTGCAATTTCTCACTGGATGAGGGGAGCATTACATCGTTATACAAAGGAACTTCATCACATTGTTGTTCATCAGACTCTATAAAAATTAAAAGAAACCATCAACCTAAGTAAAAGTGCTGAGTGGGTCTATGGACCTCATTAAATTTAAACTGAAATATCATTAGGCAAGTGACAATGGAGGTTATTTTCCAAAGTGCACTGTAAAACACTAGCTTTACCAATAAGCATTCTCTGCAATTTAAACACACCCACCATTGCTGCTGAAATCTAAGGAGATAATTGTGTCTCCAGCAGCTGGGGCCAGCACAGTTAAAGCATCTGGTTCCTGTTTAAGTTTTTCAAAGAGGTTGTTGGTATCATCCAGTTCAGCTTTATTGAATATTTTGGTCATTTTCATATCAGGAGAATCCACTGGTTTCAGCACACACTCAGTTTGTCCCAAGGAAAATATCAAGTCTTTCTGAACAATTCCACTGTCAGAGAGAAAGCAAGATTGTTAGCAAGAACTGTTTAAAGGATTAATTTCAGCATTAACAGGTATGTGAGTCACAGTCACAGGAAGAAAATTACCAGGACAGAAGTTAAGAATTCTCTTTTGATTCCTTCCTTCCTCTAATGCTATAGACAAAGCAAGCGTCAATTGTGGTTACCATAAGGTAACCAAAAAGGTAGCAAATAACTAGACATGCTTTCTTGAAAGCATAAAGGAACTGGGGGAAGAAGGGAGGAAGAAGAGGGTAATGTTAAGGATCTGCCTAAATGGTCCTATTTTTAAAATGAACTACTACTAGTAGGTTGGTATTGTTACATTCAGTACCATTTTAAAAACTAAAAATTTTGGAGTACTGGGTAGTTGCACAAAACTGGTTGAAGCCTTCAATTAAAAAAAAAAAATCTGATGAAGCAAGGGTTGGGAAACACATCAATGCTGATACATAGCTCAGTGACTAAAAATTACCATAAAACTAATGACTTTGGACTGTGGATAAAGATTAAACAGATGTGCAGAATGCAGCTAGTCTTACATGCTTCTACTGTAATGGTCCAGAAGAGCCTGGCCTACTCATTTGCTTGCAGAGATCTCCCTAATGCTATCACTAGTTTTTTTTGTTTTGCTTTAAACACAAGGAAAATAAGAGAAGTTAAAGAAAAAAAAATTATTGATAAGAAAAATATCCGACTCCACCTTCAAAAAGGGTCATTAAAAAAAAAAAAAAAAATCACTCAACTTACCTCAACACATAGTTTACACATACTATGCACTGTGGCTGAGAGTTCTTAGTGTTGTAGATAACAGTTGCTTGCGTTTCAACCCAGACATAGCCACCTTGTTTAGCAAGCATTCTGTACTGTCCTGTTGTCACCTGCCCTTTCGTGAACACTACGAGCAGAAAGGACATCAGCTTTAATTACAGGCAGGAAAAACAAACAGGACTTTCAAGAAAAGCATTCACTGCAGATTATTATCTGCTATTAAAAGAAAGCCCTCTTTATTCTATTGCTTCCCCAGTGCTGACTCTCATCTCTACCAGTTGGAGAGTTTTAACTACATCTTCATACTTACTGTCATGGTGCGTCTTGGTCAGATGATCGGAATCCAGGGCATGATAATACTCATAAATTGACCGACCCAAGAGTTCCTCTGGCTCATACCCCATCAATTCTGTAATTCTTTAAAAAGACAAGGAAAAATGCTAAGTAAAAGCAGGCATGGAGTAGCACTAATACTCATTTTGGATGCTTGCATATCTGAGTCATTTCTATACATATTAGCAGTAATGTTGATTCACTGCAGGTTTTCTTTTTCAAGTAAATTGCCTCTTTTCTTCTTCTTTTAAATGGCTTCAGTAGGCATGAGATTTTCATTAGAATATTTATATCCACCACATCCATCTTCCACAGGACAGAATTTAAGTAAATTTCTGATTTCTAGACTTTTTTTTTCCTGCTTAAAGTTAAGACTAGTTTGTTTAAAAGAAAAAAAAAAATCCACGAGCCACAATTGTCAGCTTGAAAAAAAAAAACCACAGTATTTTCCTCAGCCCCTAGAGGGCAGTGCTAACTAGGGCAAAGCATTTATTTGCCATTTGTCCTGTTCCACATACAGAATTTGACCAAATATGCACGAGTATAAATTCTAAAATTATGGTAGAGGGTAGCAAATAACCTGGCCCTTCTGTAACAGCTAGTAGAAAAGAATATTCTGTCATAAAAACAAACTCACATAAGAGGCAGTAACAAATAATGCCCACTTACAGAAAAAACTCAATTTTTCAAACTTGTCAGGCTCAAGACCCCAGAGCATAGAATGAAGATCCTTATGTATTCCAATGCACCCAAAATTTGGGCTAGATTACAACAATCTCATTTTAAGCTGCAGATGTCACACATCAAAAGTACAACTGAGCTTTTTTGATTACAGCACAAAATAAGCTTCTGAAAAGCAAAAATGGGGAGGCGGAGATTCAATAAACCATTTCACAAGTTTCCTAAATCTGAGYATGCTTCTCAGTCACTGAAAGGCTTCACCATCTAACAAGCCTAAAAATCCTTCCTGTTCTTGCAAACAAGTTATTGAACAACAGCAACCTTCCATCCTACTTAGATGTAGAAATTTGGCTTCTATGTAACACATYCTGATCAATTCATACAAGCCCAAGCATCACGCTGAAGATTTTGTTTGAATCAAGCTGAGGACTGGGACTCTAAATGTTTAATGTGACATTAGCAAACACATACAAACCCTACATGTGCTTTAAAGGAACCAATCTGTTGAGCACAAAACATATCTTACCTTTCATCACAGTAGGAAAATTTCATATCAAGACTGTGACGACTGAGGAACGTTTTACTGTCCAAAGGGACCTCGATGTTTGATGGATGAGGAATAGGTTCACAGATCAACACCAAACACGTCATGGGAGGCTTTTTGTAACCACAGTGAGTCTGACTGCTGCAAGTGTCATACACACGAATATGACCAGTGCAGTGGAGGACCTATGGGAGAATTATATTTCTCTTAAACACCATGTTCTTTTCTGCCAAACAGCACAAATCTTATTTCTGTTAGTGCATTTCCAAAGTAGAAATAGTTCATGTACAGCAAGAAAGAAGAAAGAAGGTGTGTGATCAAGAAGTCAGGACACTGAAAAAAAATCTAAAAAAATTTTGGTTATCACTTGATATTGTAAGAACTTGAATTTTGTCCAAAGGAAAAAATGCATTTCAGAAAATTATCAAACTAGACTTTTTTATTCTAATTATTAAAAAGGGTATGGCTAGCAACCTCAGAAAAGAACAGTAATTGAGTTCCTCAGAGTCATCTCCACTGTCATATTTGTGGAAATGTCAGAATAATTTGTCAGAATAAACAGCCGCCAGAATAATCTACTATCATGCAACTTTCCTCACAGAAGACTTCACACAAACATATTAAGGGKTTGTAGTTTCTAGTAAGTAAATATCCTTTGATTTAAAAAGGAGAATTCATTAAAAGCCTTTTAAAATTAATTTTAAAACATTGTTTCAGTTACCTCCCAGGTGAATTCAACATTAGCATTCAGCATATTTAAGCACAGTCATTAAGTACCCAACAAAACAACAGGCTCAAGTGACATTAACTAAAAATGTTGAAATGYAGTAAGTTAAGACATTAAGAGCTGACCGCCAAGCTGCATAAATATTCCTTTGCAGTAGTTACCTTCCACGTAGCCGACTTAATATTCACTGTTCTTCCCCTGCTAGTCAGTGTACACTTCATTCTGAGAAAAAAGCTGCGCTCCGTGTTCTGCTCTTTGCCCTTTTTCACAGGACCTAACAAAAGCAAACAGTAAAGCGCTTCTTAAGCTCTTGGATCATCTTCCCTGGCTGTAGAAAGACACGTTACAGGAACTACCTCTCAGAATGAGGGAGGCTAAAAAAAAAAAGTTAGCTTTCTTGAAAGAAGAAAACTTAATGCAAATTTATACTAATGGTACTCATTTTTTAGTTTTACTTGCTAATAGTAGGGCTTAAGTGTTTGCCTTTATAGAGAAGAACCTTTCAAAGTCAGCTACAAGCTAGACTATTAAAAAAAAGCCAAATTTAATCAGAGAAAATGTGAACTGATTCTACCAGCAGATCTACAAGCAGCTCACTGAATTGAAAAGGAAATGAAGCACCTAGGAAAATGAGAGATAGGAAAGAGTGCATTTGCAGAGGGGTGCTAATGAGCTAGAGCTAAGTCATGGCACAGCATGGAAATTCAGAACACATGACCTTACTTATGATATAAATTTCTCATATTTTGCTCATCTTCCAAGACTTACTATGAAATTCTTCACAGTTGCTTGAACCGCAGCTACCAGCTTCACAAAATTCCTTAGAGAACAGTAAAGCTACTACACTGCCCTTACTGTGGCCATGATATAGCAGAGACCTATGTAGACAAGTCTACTCTGTGCTGCAAGAGAATAATCTCAATAAAAAAATATGAAGTTCAGAGAAATAATCATAACCCATTTCATTCACTTTTTAAAACTGTGCTTTTTAAAGAGTTACACCAATTCAGAAATTCATCACTCAGTGTCACTGTTACTAACTCCTGAGGCTTAAGGGTGCAGTCTAAGCAACAGATGCAAGAGATGGAGCAGCTTTCACAGATCTAATTCAGATATTATTTTAAAAATTGCCAGCTTTGCAAGTTTCAAAAGCAACCTTGTAAAACCTGAATGCAGTTCAGTTTCTGCCAGCCACATTTATATTCATTTGCACCTCTACAATCCCAAAGAGCAGTATTTAATCCTCAAATTGAAATCAAAGTAATTCCACTTGATGCAAGAGCTGCAGTGGAACGGGACTGCTACCAGGGAATCCTCATATGGTAACGTATTATTATTACTCTTAATTTAGTGTTTTGTCTGCCAAGTTCATTTGTGAAAGATTTGTTAATCAAAAAATTATAAAAATTTTCAAACATCTTATTGCAGCCTAGTCCATTTAAAAAGACTAGAGTTACTTTTCATAACACTCATTAATACCATGATTTTTGAAGAGTATAAATTATATTAAAAATATATTTTTCATAACAAAATAGGTTTGGTARAGGCTGCTGCTACTGCTTTGGTAAAGGCTTCTTTTACAGATGCAATATTGTACTCCAGCTGAGCGGCAGGGAAGGGAAGGTCTACTCTAGCCCTGGATACCTACAACAACAGTAAGTGCAGAGAAACATGGAAAGAGCTCATCTTCTYCCCCAAACCCGACCAGGAAAAGGTCAGGTCTTAATTCTACACCCTGCCTGGTCTCCATCTTTGATTTARTGAAACAAAAAAGCAAAACCAGTTCTTAAGTGATTTTGTGAAATGCGGTAATCTGTCATCATCATCTAGATGGAGAGTCCATACAATCCCCTTCARAAGGCCAGGAATTTAAAAAAAAAAMAMAAAAAAAAAAAMCATGGGCACATTATTTCAAAGGTATACAGTACACGTCTTCATGATGTTCTATTGTACTACTCTAAAGAAAAAAAATGAAATTTGAGAAAAAAATCCCCATTTAATGCACCGATTCAGAGGTGCCATGAAACATCTATTCCAAAGCCCAYAATTAACAGCTGCACTGGAAGTCTGTCTGGTTGGGAGAGTGTTCTTCCTTATTCACATCAAAACAAAAAGTAATGATATCCAAAAGACTGCTAGCCAATTTTTTTTCTCCTTTAAGTCTCTTCCTTCCTACACATAACAGTACAGAATCTAAGAAATTATTCTCTTTCAAACTTCAATAATTCTGCTCAACTCATCAATGAAGTTTCATCCCTCCTACAATTAGAATATTTTCAATCTATTTCTGTAATTAGTACCTCTAAACAAGATGAAAACAAAGTATTTTATTTTTTAGATTTCACAAGTCCTTTATCTGGCAGATAACCAAACATSCTAACGAAACAGGAGCTTTCCTTAACTAAATTTAATAGATTGCTTTCTTCTCACCATTTCTGTGTGTAAGCATTTCTCTCAGCTCTTCGTGGTCACATGGATGAGTGAAATCAAACACACTGTGCCCCGTCAACTCRAACTGTAAAAATAAGCAGTACAGTGAGTCTAACTTTTTATATTCAAATCTGTAAAAAGTTGATACRTTTTTGTAAATCTTAGGAAGTGTCAATATTTCACCTGAGTAAGTCCCATACACTTGTTCACATTTTCAGACATGTAAATCATGTCCCCATCTTCAGAGAGAACCATGACAAATCCATCAAGAGCTTTTAAGTAAAAACAGTTCAGCTCCTTCTCCATTTTGGCTTCTGTCTCCAGCTCACCTATAAGAACCCACACACTTTTGTGAGTAAACATCAGTCATTCTTCACTTACCATGAGGAATGATGTCTGGCACCGGTCTATAAGGAGTCAGTCTAGTAGGATTATTCAAACACACAGTTATTCACTTATCTAAGTGACCAATTAAAATCTTCAAGGTCTGGCAACGATACCGCGAATTACAAAGTTAGAGCGAGGTTAAACCTCTGTACTTTCTACATACACCAATAAACCCTTAACCTTGAGGAAAAGCATAAATACGATTGTCTATCTCAAAAAGACATTGCAACCTTCTCTCAAGGTCTCCCTTTTAAGAATATGTCTACGATACATAAGAGTACTTTTGATGTAGGCAGGCACACATATAGGCAGGCACACAATAAGTAGTACAGTGTCCATGACACACGAAACAGATGCTGCTTCATAAGCTAGCTCACATAAACCCATCTGCACAACTGCAGGAATGACTGCAACAAGGGAGACGCTGCCTCGGCTAACCTCACCCTCAGTGGAGAACAGGGTGTTCATCAATGAAGATCATCCACAGGTAGCTAGGCCAGCTTTGCCCCTGCCATCTGCAGTTTAGTAAAGCACAGTTCTAACCTGTTTTTCTAGGAGAAGGCAAGCTTTCATGAAAGAAACCTCACTTTGGGAAAGGGGTTGCAAAGCTGAAACTCTTAAAATGGCACTGTGGCTCWGCTTACTTAAGCAGCTAATATCCTAAGAATAGATAGGGAAACCTGTGTCGAAGTTTTTCCTGTGCCTTCACTAATAGCCTCTTTCTAGTGGAAGGTCTCAAAGCTACTATTAATTTTGGGKTTTTTTTACATTGCTAATAGGCTTAAAAACCCAGCTTCAGTATACATGCAGCCCCCTTCTCCAGATCCTGTGGACAAGTTACCCGCTTACCAGCATCCAGCAGCTTCCTCATCCTCAAGTAGCTGATGGTCAGTCTCATAATCGAGGCCTTGTCGAGGTGAGCACTCACGGTGTGCGGCAGAGGCAGCTGGTGGGCAAGTTCATAGAACACCTCAGATTCCTTGCTCCTTCGGCAGCGGGCTGCATCTCTTGATTTCTCCTTTCTGCGTTCTGAACTTATCCTATATCAGTAAAATTTGGGGTTAATATACAGCAAACAAATAAAAAAAACAGGGTAGGAATGTCTAATATAAGTCAAAGTTGAAACTATATAAGCTGCCCAGTAGCCAATAATCTGCTATTAAAGTTAAATAATTTAGAGCTTCATTTCTAAATCTGATTCTGTCTCTATTCTGTATCGGTATAGATATTTCTGCAACTATCAGGCTTTACCACAGTTAGACTCCAAGGCACAAAGTCCTCCAACAACAAAAATCAGTTCTTTAAAAAAAAAAAAAAAAACACACCCACAGCTATCTATATACACTGGATCTTCTTTAAGTCTCWATCATCTCATACTTGACTGCTGCTCTCCAGCCTCCAAATCCTGTTTACTTCCCTTTTTTCCTACCAACCCCTGAAGTCCATTCAAAACACTACAGCTTAGGGTTATTTCCAGTATGATGCTTCAGTAATATCACATTCACCCTCCAAATTCCTCCATTAGCTATCTCAGTCTTCACRTGCTAAGCTTGTCATCCTTACAAAGCCCATTAACAAGTCAGGTACATATAGATATTGACTTAACATAGGGTGTCTATAGCTTTTCAGRCATTCTCAGAATTACTTTCCCTATTCCCTTCTACCATATAGCCCCCTCCCATGATCTCTCCGATGCTGGAAATGTCCCTATTTCTAGTGGAAGAAACCTCTGCCTCTATTAAACTCCTCTCCCCCAAAAGGCATGAAGCAGGCGGCACCTTGCTAACAGCAAGCACRGAATCAACTATGATTTTCTGATAGTCGCTAATCCTGGTATTTATGCAGTTTATTATTCCTCCTCCCTGTACCCACACSAGGTCACATGTTTGTTTCATGCATCTGTCACGCTCTTTTTAAACTAAGCATTTTGAGAAGGAACTCCGCGTTTTTCTTATGTTTGCTCACAAAGAACTCCATGCTGGTCTGGTCCCTGGGGAAGAAGAGTCCCTTGCAATTAAATGTGCTTTTAGTTTAAAATAGACGATGCAAAAACATAACTTTTTAGTTTCAGGTTTTCTTTCTATACGTGGATGTCTGCATGCATGTTCCTTCATTTTACATTTACTACAACCATCGTTTTTATCGTGATCTGTAGAGTTATCTTTCTTTTTCCATTTACTTACATGAGAATGCAAGATAAATATATGCCTACAATAACTTCTTTTCTAATGCAAAGTGTATGTTTTTATGATAAAGAGATCAAGTATTATCAGCTAAAGAAGAAACAGGTTTTTTTATGCTGCAATGTAACTACTACCACCAAACAGTTTAAAAATAAGTTATTCCTCAATAAGATTAGGATGAGGCCAGGCATTATAACCATCAAATTCTCTTACATATATTTATTATATATACAATRTATTATATAAGTACTATATAATTATAATACATATCATAATATATCATATATTATTATATAATGACTATATATCATATAATTCTTAGATTTATATATTAATTATATGTATAATTAATATATGTTTATATATTAATATATTTATATATAACAATATATAAAAACTTTTTTTAGAACATACGCTGTGACTGTACTAGAAATGACACAGGAACATGACTCAGTAGCTGATTTTACCTGGGAAACCAAGTGATTCTGACTACGTGGAAGCAGTGAATTACTTGCATAAAGCAGGACATTTTAATCCTTTGCCTACTGTGGTATTTACAGTTAAAAAAAAAAAAAAAAAAAAAAAAAAAAAAAAAAAAAAAAAAAAAAAAAAAAAAAAAAGGTGTAGCTCATGCAACAGTATGCCCGTGACAGTACTATTAAGACTGATAGTAGAAGCAAGAATGCCGTAGTTTAAGAAAGTTGTTAAAAGGACAAAGTAAACTGACAGTATTTCTTCCAAAAGTAGCTTATTTTCCCCTAACTTCATGAAATTAAGGCATCTTCATCCTTCTATCCCTCCGTCACTGCTGACACTAGTAAGCTTTAAGCTGCTTGCGAGTTCTTAGGAAATAAAAATATAAAAAAAAACACACCAGATTACTATATTTCTATGTAATGAGATTATATCAGCATAGCATGTAACAGTAAAGGAGGTCTTTGGAAAACTAACAGGTATTGAATATGTGGAAAAAAAGGACTTAAAATAGTCCTATAGTCCTATCAGTTTATCTGAATGCAGTTTGTATTTCTTAAAATGAAAGTATAAAATAACTGCTGATATTTTCCTATTTTACAGATTTCCACACATTCTGTGAGGTTAGATGTTCCTGCTCTAGTAACAGTGACCGTGGGCTGACAAGCTTGAGGCTTCCCTATATACAGGTACACTCTGAAACACTCATTACTAGAGTCTGACATGTAAAAACACTGAAAAAAAAATTTAGCTATGTAACCTGATGGATTTAACATGGCTGAAATCAGGCCCCCAAATATCTTGTACCTGAGTGGAAAATTCAGGGTACAGGTGAACGTATAGGTTCTCTTAGGTCTCTTTCTTGGACTCATGTTATTTCTCAAAATATGGGTAAAATGAGTAACTACACTTCCCTAGATTCACCTTTACATCCCTGATGATAAGCATCTTTTCCAAATACTCATTCAAGATCCCTTCTAATTAAATGTCCTCATAGTACAGAAACTCAGGAGATTAACACTTGAAATAATTTTCTTCCAGCTGACTAAATGCCTGTAGTTTTATCATAGCTGCCTTTTCAAMAACAAGAAAGTCAACAGGTTTTGGCAATAATACAGTGCATTTCAAGACTAAATGTTTAAAAGACTTTTCAAGACTAAAAGTTTAAAAATAACAATGCATGTGGAGAAGGACAGTGCAGGAGATGGATCCAATCCTCACTAGTTGGAATTTCAGCCCTCTCTCACATTTTATTTATGAAGGATTTATATTCTCATAAATCTCAGATATTTTCTAGATTTACTTTCAGCAGACAGAAAAGTCAAAATTCCATCCAGTCACTGAATTATTACGCAGTTCAATTATATAAGAAAATCAATCTATTGGATTTTTTTTCTGATTTTACAACAGGCAAAACTGAAGTAACAATCAAAATGTTAGTACCGAATGCTGATGTTAAGTGACAGACTAATCTCCCTATTACTTATTACATATTTCCTTTCTAGAAAGGTTTCCTACTATATAAGATAAATATTTAAACATTTTAAATATTTATTTAAATAGCAGCACAGCGGTTTGCTATGCTTTTGTTTAAAACTAAGCTGTAGCCAATCTGAGTAAGAACTAACAACCTAACTAGGAAGATCAAGTACCAGCTTCAAAGACTGTTTCCTTAATGGATTAAATTAATAGGGAAAAGGTCTTTCACAAGGGAGGTGTGTTTAATGACCAACGGAAGTCTGAGCTGTCTCACTGTGGGATGTCACCAGAGGGGGAAAAAAAGAATATACATATATTTTATACATATATGTGTATAAAATATATATATTCACCCACCTTTTAGGGTTGCAAGTACTCTAACCTTTGCTACTCCCAGTTAAAATGAAGTAAATTAAAGTGTTTTGCCTCCACTGTGTGGGGGAACACATGAGKAAAACTGAGCAGCACAAGATGTGAAAACTAGCACTGGCATCAGATGGTCTAAGTTACATATGTTAAAGATATTTTCTTAAAACCTACCTATGTTTAAAAAGTAAGTAAATAAATAAAAGCCTTTACTACAGAAATATAATTCTGTAAAGACAGCAAGAACATGAGTTCCATTTAAAATAAATCCCAAGCTTCTGCTTTTTCACATGAAAGAAAACAACTTAAATATTCTATCATCAATGCCCATGCTAGGCAGGAAATTGCATGAATTTTCAGGTATGATGTTTCCTAYGCAACTGCAGTGCTACACATTTGTTTCCATTTTGTTTTTTTTTTTTTAACCACAAGAATACAGAAGCAGAGAAGCAATCTCAACCAGGATATGCAACTACAGCTCACAAAAAGCAGTGATTCAGTAAAAAAAAGAAAAAAAATAAATCCAGTATCTGGCACATTCTTATATATGTAGGAGATGTTCATGTAAAATAGCTGAACAAACATCTGCGTTGCAAAAGAGATCAGAGTTAGAGACCTAAAGCAAAACAGTATTTAACCACCAGGATCCACTACAGCTGGACTGAACTAGACTGAAGGATATTACCCAGGCTCGCTGCCCAAACTGGAAAAGGTTTTAAAATCTGGTGAGCTGAATATAAATAAAGCATTATTTTTTATATATATAAAAACCCTTTACAACAGGTTTTTGCAGCAAGTAGAAATTGGCCCAGCAGCCTTGAGGACAAAGGCAGCCAACAGCAGCCATCCCCATACCGGTTACGGATGTAACATAGCCTTTGTACCCGCGTGTGTAATTCCTGTAATTGGGATGGCGTGAGCCGTCCTGGCCAGTTAAACCTGGGCACCACATCAGCCCCCAGCACCCAAACAGCACAGATTTCTAGAAGCCAGTCCCCAGTGTTTTGGATATAGCCTGACGTGCTCCTTTTCTCACAGGCARAACTATTCAAGCACCATACTTAAAGATAACCTGTTCCTGCTTATTCGCCACTATTCACTTAAACAGAAATCGAACTCTGGAAAATATCATTAGTAACCAATAAATTTCAACTTTAAATTACTGGCTAGCATAAGAATGAGTCAGAGGACAGATCATAAAACATGTAGCACACTGACTTCTCCATCCAGTTTCTTAAACCACTGCACACTAAGTAAAATTCTACAGATGTGCACACAATATCATATTGCCACAAATAACTGATCTCTCTGTCATTTTACTACTGCTTCGTTTTCTATCCTTCTACTTGCACATTTTTCATAGTAAATTGCTGTCTCCCCAATCAGTTTTTTCCCCTTTATATATTTTCAGTTTCCCATGTAAAATAGCTACTGCATGTGTATTAATTTAGTCTCCTACAACTTCCAATAGTCATTCACATTTCTAGAAGCCTTTTTTTTTAAAACAATTGAGAGGCCCTGATAAAGACATCTGCTTTTAAACAGTTTCTTAGAAGTACTTATCTTTTTAACATAGAAACAAAATGCAGTCAAAATCAGTGCATCACAAGGCAAGTAACAACATTTCAGTATTGGCCTTTACCTAATTTTCAGTTACGAAATTAATTTTCATTTGCCAATACAAGATTTCATAAGGAATACTTTCACGTTAGATGCACCCTATTCCGAGATAGTAAAACTAATACTGAAAAAAATCTAACTCCCAAACTGAGGCACAAGGACTGRATCCTCTCTGTACCAACACAGCTTTACCGTTTCTTCTTTAATGCCAAGAGAAAAGTCTATTATAGTAAGATAGCTATTATAGTAAGAGTACATATTAACAGTTTATGTCATCACTGCTGGTATTCGATATTACAAACTACATCTGTAAGTGACTTGCATTTAACTTATAAGGTTAAATTAATTCCTGCTGCTCGTGTAAGACACAGTTGTATTTTTATGCCTAGGCTAAAAAAAAGATGCCTCTGCCAGCACCTGGATTAGCTGCAGCACCGACTTTCACACTTGCCTGACAAACTATAACATAGGTTCAGGCTTACGAACAGGGCAAACMGGGTGCACTGCAGTTTTATGAGGGAGATTCAACTTTTGTGGTTTAAGCTCAAAAGGAAAAGCCAAGGAGGGGCAAGGGACCAACTTCATCAGATCTGCCTGTTCACAGGACTAAGTGTTTCATGGCGAGTGCCAGAACACTCTCTGAAATGGAGGAAGACATTTCGGAGCCTGCTTCTGAGCACTCATTACAAATCTGGACCTTCAGTTCAGGAAATCTTCAAGGGACAGACTTTTCAGGGCCATAACATATACATATATCCTCCAGAAAAAGAGAAAGCTGGTTTTGCTCTGCCTTTCCACAAAACGTGTTCAGATAAGCTCTTGGGAAACAGAAATTTCAGCTGCGTTACAGACTGAGCACAAGCTCCCAGCTAACAGCTCCTAACGAGCTCCCCGTGACAGCTTCATTTCTTGCTCTGACATGATTTTCCTTTGAAATATTATTGTCTTCCGCAATACGACAGATTTTATTTACCTTACTTTCTAATCTCTGTAGAGAATTCTTTTGAGAGAAAAGGATCCTAATCTTGTGTGTAATGACAATCTTGTGTGTAATGACAAGCATGTGATTTGCTAGATGAAAGTCTTACTCATTATGAATTAATGAGCATTATGGCCCAGTAATCTAACACAGAAAAAGCAGAAATCCATTGAATATAGTAACAAAAAATTAAAAGAGCTGCTAGATGCAGAAAGTAGCATAACAGTTGAGCACAAAAACAACATTTCTGTATGTAAACTATTAGTTAAATCTCATTTGTTTGTGTATTTCTTCTTAACAATGCAGTTACAGCTACTTTCTTTACATTACAGCAGCTGARTGTTTTTGTAATTTGAATACCAACAAAAAAAGAATAGTGAAAAAGAAGCAACTAACTAAAAAAGCAAGCAGTTCAAACGATGGATTTGCTACTGCACCACCAACTTTCTGCATAAACGGTGCCTTTGAAACACATAGCTCCTTGCAAAACAACAGTGGAGAGAGGTTCCACAAGAGCCCTCGCCATTACACGTTAAACAAGCTGCGCARTAAAAGGTCTTGCTGTAAGAACATAAAGTCTGTATAAAGAGCCATTTTACAAGTAGGCAAGTTACGGCACACAACAAAAAGCCAATGGCAACCTAAGCGCCTGTAGCAAAGCCTGGAACTCCCAAATTTAGTGCCAGGCCATAGCCCCAAGATTACCCTCCATATGTATGAGGCTTTGAACAGACTTGAAAGACACAGACTCTTGATGAAGTAATTTTAGTCTAAATCACGACTTATAGTCAAACTTTTGCTTTATAATCCACTGTGTTCAACCTTTGCAGACTGGAGGCCCGACATTTTTCCCTGAGTGCTTCAGCGCATGTAGTTGACCTTGTCACTTCACCTTTGCTATTTACTAAAAGCCTTTAACAGTATATTTCAAAGTTTYCAAGAACGAATTGAAAAAAGAATTTAAATTACAAGTTTTTGTTCTTCATAAATATAGAAGAATAAACAGATCCATTATGCATGCCAAAAACAGAAAAAAAAAGCTTACATCAATACTAGGAAAAAGAGTCTGAGGCAATTTCAGCACAACATCCAGTAGATGCAACAGTGTGAGACAAGGGCAGAATTCTTCCTTTCCGAGAAATCGAGCACTGAATACCCCAGTCATCAGCTAAATCCCTTCCATTTAAGGGTTCTTAGCCTGGTTCTTAGCTTAGTTAGGAACTAAAGCTATGCATTTAATATTTGACATGGATTAGTTAAAATGTCTTCTACTATTGGAATATACTGTTATTAATTCAAAGGAATATAAATATGAAAAAAAAGAGAGAAAAATCTACAGTAATTCCCTTTCAGCATGCAGGTCCATTTATTATTCTCGGCTGTAAGCAGCATGAAGTTACTTCACAAGAAAGGAGTCCTGGCCTCAAAATTCTTTTGCTTTTTGAAATGTAGACATTTTCACTAAAAGAAAATCAATCCAGTTTTGGTTTAAGCTGAAAGCAARATAATATATTCTGGAAAACAAAACATGTCCTCTTTTTCAGATAACACTTCCATGAAAAACAAATATCCCTTTCAACTGAATTTTAAGGTAGTAAGTTACCTGGGAAAAAGTTTTGCTGCCGTAAATAGACCTGTTTGACACACACAAGCACAGTGAGTCAGTTTCTTCACCTCTTCATTTTAACTGCAGGCTCCATTTTAACTTAATGCAAGTCACAAGTTCTGATGTAACATTTTTCCTCAAAACGCTTTACGTTCATTTTGTACAGCACTGCATTAAACAGGAATTTCATGATTTTTCTCAGTCTACAATACACACTTCTTTTTGTAGTAGATATTTTTAAGGAAATACTGTTGGTCCTTCCTGAAAGAACAGTTCTTCAGTAACAGCAGAGCCATTTTGAATGTTTGGGATTTCTATAGCTCAACATTTTAAAAGGCTGCATTTCTGTACAAGTCTCAGTATTATCAGGCTTAAGCAGAAGGAAACAACAGATTATGCATACAATGAAACTCATCTTTATCAAGGCATTTGTTCTGAGTAAGTATCTTGGACCAGATCCTCAGGCTGGTATGAACAGGCACAGCTTCAATGAACCGCTGCTAATTTACATCAACTGAGGCTCTGGCTGCACATCAAAGAACCCTGAAGTGTTCATCACCTACACAAGCTGCATTAAAAAAAAAAAAAATCACATGAATTCTTTGGATTTCATGTTCATGCTTCTCATCATTTCAGAACTTACTGTTTATAGAGACTTTACTTCACAGCTAAATAATAGATCTCAGCAGATGAAAAGCTTAATCACCTTCGTATCACAATGTTTTGTGATACTTCATGCACCTTTCCTGAATTTTCTGTCAGTACAGAGCACAGAGGCGCTCCTTCTCTCCCAGTCCATTAACTCTCCAGTCCCCTATGTTGTAAAATCCCCAGATTTGGGCTGTTTCAGTGCCACATGCAGCGAGCTGCTCATTGGAAGCTCCTGCACGTTCTTCTATCACCTCTACCAACACGAATGGCCCTTGAGCGAGATCCTACAACTGCTCAAACTCTCCAGGATTCCAAGGGGGAAAGGCTGTTAGGTCTTCAGCATTTGCTCAGGTCAAAATTTATTTCCATATATTACCTAGGTTTGAGACTTGTCGACATCTGCACATACATCTTGGTATGGCAAGATATAAATACTGTTTGAGCTGATGACTTATAATCGAGAACATTCCTTTCTTTGGGACCTTGGCTGGCAACGCGAGATGTGGGAAAAGGACTGCTCTGCTTTCTTGCTAAGATTCTTGCGATATTTTTATTTTGAGGGGGTTTGTGGTTTTTGTTTTTAAAGAAAATGTATAGTAATCTGATCTTTATTTGCATCTCTTTGGCACAACAGTATGACCAGGAAAATCTAGATGCTCTAACACTCCACTGCAGAACCACGCGGTGCCTCCTACCTGGTTTTAAATATGCATGTTCCACAATCACATATAATCACACACTTGGTTGGCCTTCCACATCACCAAGCCCTTACAAATATATTGGGGTAAGATGCTCAAAAGATTTTTTGAAATACACAAAACTGCATAAATTCACAAAATCAGGGGGTTCTGCTCCTTTAATGCRGAAAATCTCATGTGATATGATTTGAAAGAAATTAGCACATAATTAGCCTTGTACAACATGAACACATTCAAGAAATTAATCCATTTTGCTATTTGTCTCATAGGAATCTTGAAGGCTCTTAGATCAAAAACACCCAAAAGTGAACTCATGCATTCTTCAGAACCTCAGAAAGGTTTGGGCTCACACAACAACACAGCTACTAGTTATTAATATTTGTTTTTATGCATTTTGTTATTGTTGCTGCTTCACCATCAACAGACTGCTGGAAACAGTCTTCTGAACTCCACACCACAGGTCAAGGACTTGGAGGAGCAAAGGTCTAAGGCAGCCTTACAGCACGCACAGGAGGAAGCAAGCACCTATATGTAAATGCAAGCTGATACTTTCCTGACTCAAGTTTTCCGCRTGATAACAGAAAGGATTTCTCGCTCCCCTCTTTTAGCAGAGCCTCAAACCGTGTTTTGCAGGTGGCTATGCAGCTTCTCAAGCCTTACGAAGSTTTTAACATCACCTTCACCTAACCTAAACAACCCTTTGCCAGGCATTTCTCAGAAAATGAGGAAGGCAACTCCAGGAGGGAATAAGACACATTATGCACTTGCAGAGATATAGAATAAACCTGCTGCACTTAAAAAGAAAAGCAAATAAAATGGAAAATCATCCTGCTGCTTCCATCAATGTGTACCAATTACAAATGCCCCAACTTTTTTCTCTAATAAAAGCAAACCGAAGCACCAACAGTGCAACATTTTTAAAAGTATCTACAGGAGACAAGTCTTCCACGGCTTTTCTTCATCTGGCTTTCTGCATCTTGCGATCATGAAGAAATACCTCTGCTGCTTAGATCTTTACAGGACATGCAGCAAAAAGTAAATTCTGATCACTTTTATGAAAGGAATTTAAAACTCAAAGAAGTTGCAGGAAATGACAAAAAAAATGCTCTAAAAGAACTCCTGAGCCAAGCCAAACCATCCAGCAAAAGCCGGTTGAGACCAAGTCCTGCGAGCCATAAAGCACCCTGCCCTCCCTCGACCGGCAGGGAGATCCTTCCGCCAAGCTGGAAAGGTTTCCCCTCTTTTTACACCATGTAGGAAGAGCCCCAGCTACACAACWTACTACGGGGTTTTGTACCAGCTTTCAGCTCTGTTAACGGTGGCTCAGTTCCACTGGTGCTGAAAGGAACTGGCAAACAAAAAGCAAGGGGGCACATTCAATTCTAGACATCTCACAAAGGTTTAAGAACGAGCAGGGTTAGCACATCGCCTCTTTCACAACCTGCCACTCAGGACCTAGGCCTCTTGATCAGATTTTGCTGCTGACCAAAGTGGCAGAAATCAGCAGCAAAATCCTGGTCTTTCAAGTCCTGGGTACTAGATATCAAGTCCCAACTACTGGAAACAGAASAGCTCAAGACACTAAGGTCAGAACATTATGTTATCCAACTTAATGTCTCCAATGAGATCCAGCCCGAGCACTCAGGAAATTACTTTTAAAATCTCATTTACCACTTCTCTTTAGCAGTCAGATGATAAGGTATAAGGAATTATAGATATTCCTCCACAAGTGATGATTTCGAACAAGTCCAAGGTTTATTTTTCTAGTGCATCTACAAACCAACTACCGAAGTAACTAGCAAACCTAAATAGCTCCTTTACTTCAAGCAGCGCAAGAATCCCTCCATTAACAGCAAACAGTCCTACTACCTGCAGAGGAGACAACTTTTCACAGCACAAGCCACTCCACTAAAATTTATTAAAAGAATAATGAGGAAAATCATCGCATGTCTAATCAAAAGCCTTAACTTCAAATGAAATGAAATTTAGTAAGCAAATCTATAAACAAGGTTGCTCTATCCATTATATACACCAAGATGTACTTACTGCTTGCAACACGTGGAGAAAAAAAAAAAAAAGCCACAAGCCAGAAGCACATGAAAATGATGCAACTACCAAAGCAGAACAGATAAAACTCAAATAGCCACCGCTACCTAATTGTGTTGCAAAAACATACAGTGCTTAAGATTCCACAAGAAATCAGGTCGGATCTACACAAGTTTGGGACTACATGAAAGAATAGTTTCAACAAATCAAGCAATACTTCTAGTTGGCATTATGAACAGCACATTCATAATATTTCACTTCATAATTACATAAGAGACAGACTGGGTCAAATTCCATAATTTCTGTATCTCACAGCACATAACGAGCAAGCAAAAAAACCTCACTCTACCCAACTATCGATAGCAGAACATTATCCAACTACAGACACAGACAAGGAAAGGGAATTTGGTGATCTTAGCAGCACCAAAAATTAAGGTGCACCACATGCACCGCCAGCGAAATTACCATCAGAAAACAGGGCTGGAAGTTTGTAAAGGTACGCTGGTCTCCAAAGGTATTTTTCCCAAGGACACAGTCAAACGCAGGCCCTTCTAAAACAATTCAGGCTCGCTGAGAACCTCAAGCACAGCTCAGAAGGTCCCTCATGAACAACTCACATCCTTCCTTTCTGGCTTAGCCGTCTTTGCTCTACTGCACATTCACAGCCCCGAGATGGACACAGCACAGACACAACACTGCATTTTAACTAAAGCGCACTCTATAACAGGTGTAGTCAAAATACTCCTTGCTACCTCATCAGAAACATTTCCAACCTTTAACTCTGCCTTCAGGATGCAGAAGAAAACAAATTCTCTTTCTTAAGCTTTGCCTTTAGGGAGCAAAGGATAAACTATGCATACCAATTCCTGCATTCTCAAGAAAGCAGATTACATCCAGGGCAAGGAAATTGGAAAAAAAGAAAAAAAAAGACTCAAGCGGGACAGAAAAAAAAAAAAAAAAAAAAAAAAAAAAAAAAAAAAAAAAAAAAAAAAAAAAAAAAAAAAAAAAAAAAAAAAAAAAAAAAAAAAAAAAAAAAAAAAAAAAGCTCTAGGACAACAAAAAACAGGAACAGAGAAAAATCTAAGTCTCAAAATCCCTTTCTAGACCTGCCACTAAAATAGGCCGGGAGAGCAAAGAACAGAACAATCATTTCTGTTCATTTTCTCTAAGGCTTCTCAATAGTTACCAGTTTTCAGTCAAAAAACACAAAAACAAAAAACAAAGGCTACAGCACTGGCACCACCCCAGGTGCCCCACAATATATATTTCATTAGACTAACAGCTTCTTCTCTGCCCTCCACATTATTGTAATAATTTGAAATGATCCCGGAGATGACACAGTGCTAGAGGTAAAGCGCTCGCCTCGCACRGCTCCAGCTCAGCACAAAGCTCAACATCCATTTTAGCTCAACCTCCAGTGACTCGGGCTCCCGCGCCACACACTGTATACACTATTGTAACCTCCTCGGATGACCCCTGCACGCAAGGGCAGGCAAAACCAATCTCAAACAAAAAAGAAAAAGGAAAAAAAAAGGTATCGATATCAACATAAACAAACGCTGTCTCCTGCGGATGGAGATTACAGCAATTAATCCCTCCACAAAGCGCATTGGGGGAACATCCAATCTRAAAATCTGATCACCTAAATACTCCAACTCCATAACTTTGCTATGTAACAAAAGCTTTTAAGGCTTTTATTTCCCCCTCTTTCTAATTCGAGCTAACAATCCTTGGTGAATTATTCATACTTCTCAACTTACATTGTTCAGCAGCCCTCCTCCCCCCCACCCTTTTATTTTTAAAAAAGCTTAAGCTTTCAAGACTCAAAAAAGAGAAAAAAAAACTTCCCTTCCTGAATAAAACCAGAATATAATATAAATTCAAAGATTCACTAGCCACCTTAAAAAAAATCGTAGCAGTTTATTTTTAGGATGAAACACAGCAACCCACGGCTGTTTTCGGCAAATAACGACCATTTGGAAACACGTTCCGAGTTCTCACGGCACTGGATCCAAACGGATGGATCTTCCTCCTGCCAATCTGGCACTGACCAACGCTACACCGTTACCCCCCCCCCCCCCGGGTTTTTTTCGGTCTCTCTTTTTTAAGGAATCCTCACAATAAGGCCCCAGTCTCACACACGCTTCAGTCCCCGCGCGCAGACCACGAGCGCTGCCGGGAGCCAGGCCCGGCCGASGGGCCCGGGGCTCCGCTCCGAGCCGCCCGCCCGCCGAGCTCGCTCCGCACGCGCGACGCGGCCCCGGGGCCCGGCCGAGGCCCCTTGGGGCCAAGTTCCCTCACGAAAGGGCCCCCCACCTCCGGCCCCCAGCCCGCTGCCCGCCACGAGCCGCCCCGGGGCCGGCGCCCGCCGCTCCCCCGGCTCCCCCCGCCGACAAAATGGCGACGTGGACGGCGGCGAGGAGGAGGAGGAGGAATGAAAGGGCGAAGCGCTGCGCGGGCCGCGGAACGGGCAGCGCGGGGACGGGGGGCGACGCCGGGCGGCGGGGGCGCCCTGGAGGGGGGGCTGAAGGAGGGGACGGCGCCGCCGCCCGCGGGGAGGATGGAGAGCGGGCGGGGAGGCGGCCCCGCGCCGGGGATGGCGAGAGGGGGCCGGGCAGCCCCGGGCCCGGCGCGCGCCGAGGGAGGGAGGGAGGCAGGGCCGCGCGGGGGAAGGAGGCGGCGGACGGTACCTCTTCTTGTCGCTGGCGCCGCCGGGGCTCTCCATGGCGGCCGCGGGCTCCTGCTGCCTCCCGCTCGCCTTCTCGCTCGCAGCCGGGCGCGGGCGGCTCCAATGGCCGCCGAGCGGCGCGGAGATGGCGGCGCAGCCGGGAAGGGGCCGGCTCTGGGGCCGCGCGGGCTTCAGAGCATCGGGGCGGGCGGGCAAGGAGGGAGGTGCGGGCGGCGCGGGGCGCAGCGGCGGCTG